CAAAAGGCACAGAAGGAATGACAGTATCAGCTAAAGCAGGGAAACAAAATTCCTTTCTCATAAGACCTGCATGCCCTCCAGTAGGCAGGAAGAGGAGGTGAGTAGTGTTCCTCTTCACTGCCTGGAGGGCTACTGTACCACAGTTCTCGATAGGCCTTCAGTTTGATAAGCAAGTGCCTCACAGGTTGAGAAACATCTCTATATCATGAGACATGAGGTTTGTTTTTTTAAAATATATTTTCATAGTAAACCTCAACAGGCAGCTTAAAAAAAAACAAATGTTGCTGAATTGATCAGCACATGCACAACTTATTGTCAGAGAATGTGTAGATTTCCAAGCAGATTTCCTGTACCTTCCAAATCCTTAAAATAACAGGTTTAGTTGGCATAAGTACGGGGAGAAGACATCGTTGTTGTAGTGGAATGCAATACAACTGCATCAATCTGGTTTGTAATAACCCTCAACTTCTCAATAACAAGTCAGTGTGTTTGTCAGCCATGAAACACTGACACAGCATGACTAAACCTGCCTGTCATACTACACAATAAATGCAGTAAAATGTAGTAAGGAAATCTGCAAAAGCTGTATGCAGTACACCAACAGTCTGAGGAAGCATCAAATTGATCAGTGACCATAAAATCATTAAAATGCCATCTCCAATTAACACACAATTCCTGGCATACTGTCATAGTCACAGGACTAAAAACTAAATAACAATACCGAAATCAAATAAATTGAATTTACCAAATAAACTTCTGTTTTGTTTTAAGATTAAACTAATGTTAGCAGCAACTGTTACACAGCTTCCTTCAGGATACTAACCATCAAGGATTATTTCTGCTGTTGAGACAAATGTAAGCCTATGTTAAATATGGATATGAAGTCACATTCTTATCTCTCATCTCTTTGTTCAGATTGTTATGCCTCTCCTTCTGACATATAAACAGCCCATAAAGTGAATTTTCTTGCTAGGAATCCAGAGATACAGAACCCAAGGTTTTGACGTATGTAAAACATGTTTAATTTGTTGCAAATTAAACAATTTGCATTTGTTTAATAAAGGCTTAGTCAGTCATCTCTTCTGATTCCCTTATTTACACTGAAATGAAAGTTGTGCTTATGTCATCATGGACCATTGTTATTTACACTGAAATGAAAGTTGTGCTTATGCCATCATGGACCATTGTTATAGAAATGGTGGCATCATAGAGATAGGAGGACATCAACACAGATTGAAGTATGATGAATAAGAAAGACTGTGAAAGAGCAATTTTTTTTTTGTTAAATATGTTAAATGTTTAAATGTTAGAAATGTTAAATACAATAAATAATGTTAAATACAAAAATCTGAGTTGAAAAGAAAGCACGCCACATAGAAGAGCACTAAATGGATTAATTCTCTTTTAAAATCTTCTCTCACAAGAAAGACGTATTTCTCTCATCACTTCTTTCAGCTGTTTTGCTTAAGCAAACAGTGAAATTCTTTCAGTTTTGTAAAATTTGATCCTAACAGCTAAATACACATTTTAATAGATAACAGGATCTGAAGTTCTCCTGTATTACCCCAACATGGAGACTGTTCTTCAGACACAATTCATTTTAAAGGCAATAGCATTCATTTCTAAACTCCCCTTCTTAGATATGGTAGGCTACAAGCTCTGATCTAGCCTGAAGAGTAGATGAGATCCATTGTAGGTGGATTCTATGCAATCCAACATTGTCTATGACTCCACTCAGTATAGGCATGAGGGCATGAGTTTGTCTCCTCCACCTGACTAGGTGATCTCACCTTACTTAATAGTTGACATATTCACACTTTTATTAGTTTTAATGCATAAGCAATGGAAGAAATAACTCAAAAAATTATGGAGGAAAAGAAAAAGAAGCTTTTAATGAAAACTGAAGAACAGAATTTTAGGACCAGAGAAATACACACAGAAATGTCTTTGAGAACATACGAAAGATTTCCATGGAAAAAATAAATAACTAACTATAAATTAAAATACTACAGTTTCAGTCTTCTAGGATATAAATATTATGATGTACTACAGGCTTGCTGAATTTTTAGACTGACACATTTCAAAGAAATTCCAGTTTCTCTGGAGACCCACAGAAAAAGTTTGTTTTAACTACGAAGGTACAGTACAATGCAGTGAATTGCACTATGGAAACAGATGAATTAATGGTTAAGAAAACATAAGATGTGCCAAAATCTTGTAGTATCATCCTTTTAATTCAAAATTTGCAACTCAAGATTTAGAGATATTTACTGGTAATTTTTAGATGTCCGGGCTAACGATACTATGACTACACAAAATGTTATCAAAGGCATGAAAAATAGCTGGTGAGGAGTTTTACTTGTACACTAACTTCTTCCAGTCCTAATGTTCCTAACAGGCCTAGTCAGTCCCATGCACGTGTTCCTTGTTACATCCATTTTCTGTTCATTTGGTTTCCCACACACCAAGCCAGACTCCAAACCTCAGTAAGGAATCTGCTTCTCCTCCAAGCTGCTGTGAGTCACTGGGATGTCTGCTGCATAGGCTAAACTAAGCCTGAATTTCTTGCTTTTACTAGGCAGCAAGAATAATGAGGAAAAGCACGGCAAGGAGGTGAGAAAAGATCAAAAAGCTAGTAATTCTCACTCAATATCTCTGCCTTCCTGTCATATTTCATGGTGATGGAAGAAAAACAAAAACTGAGAAGAGAATTGTGAGAAAGATCACAGTGTTCCAGCTTGCAAATTTTCAAGCACTTTTACTTTAAATACTTCTCATGACAAATGAAAAAAGCTATGCTACGTCATCAAATAAGTATGTATTCTTTTACCTTGTTAGAAATACTGGGACATATGTCTACAGATTTCTCCTTGGACATGACTGCAGTAGAAAATAAAGCTGTGTTAAATGAATTTACCTAATAATTCTACATATTGTTATCGTTTGTAATGTAGGTTCCAATATGAATCTATATAAAATGTTTTATATTTTTTCCTATTCTTTTGGTAGCTTCAACTAAATTGTTGACTGAATGTTAAAATAAGTAAGTAATTTTAGCTTGCTCTATGCTACTAATAATCATCTGCTCAGGAAAACCACTGGAGGCAGACTGAAATCAGAAAGATCCCTGCCATAGATAATTTCTGAACTTGATTTGAAAATCAAGAACTTTCCATTTCATCAGACCTGCCAGAACAAGGCACTGTGGTCAGAAATGGGTTTTCAGGTTATAGAATGAATCCAGTCTAAGCATAGTGATTATCAATAACCTGCTTCACAACAGACTGTTAAGAATTCTATCTTGTGGACGGACAACAAGTTTCCTCAGGTACTGGTAGCTGAGAGGCAACTTTACATGGGAAGGGGTGTAAGGGGAAATGTCAGTACATAAACGTTCTCTGTAGACAACAATCTGTTGGAGAGACTGAGATTAGAAATAATCCTGAACTGATACTTTCATTAAATGAACAAACAAACAACTAGAGATATGAGAGAACTTGAATATAAACTGTTGTTTTCATTATATCTGCATTACTCTCATGAACAGTACCATCCTTCACCTGCAGGAGACCAAATATAAACACTCCTGTCCATAACATTTCCCCTGGTTCTCAATAAAGCAGACTGGTGTAGCTACCCCACACGTCAGAGTCCCTGCTGCCATGATTGCTTTCTGAATATCCACAAATGTTATCAGAGTTGAACTACAAACCTGCTAACACCTTTAAGTCTGCTGCACTTTCAAAAAACAGTCTTTGCCTGTTTCCATTAAAAGCACTACTTCTGTCTCATCCTCTGAATCACCAGTGATTTGTTTTCATACAGATCCCTCCATCTGCCAGACACTGCGGTGACTAATGAACTGAAGAATCTGGTCTGTATAAAAACTTGACTTAGCAAATTAATCGTCACCATGTTGATGACACTGCCACCCAAAATAACACAGAAACAAAAGAGTAACAATTTACATGGGCTCTGAGCCAGTCTGCCCTTTCTATTCAAATTTCAGGAAAGCATGACCTAAATTCTCTACAAGTAGTAGAATTTGGAGCTTTTGTTAATTCAGTTTCTTTTCTTTCTTTCAGCATGTGTTTTTGCTAAGATAATTATAGTCATTAGCAGAAAAAAAATATTTGTGGAAAACTAAATACAGCAAGCACATAGCCTGTTGTAAGAACGTAAGCTTAACAGAAAGAGACTGCAGTACAGCTGAATGCACGTATCAGTACAGAAAACTTGCCCTGGCTATCTAATGACAAACACACACCCCAGACTGACCAGAAGCAATGTAAATCCAATTCTGCCTAGATTAGAACATCACAGTTCCTTTCAATAACTTCCACAATCATGCACTCAATGATTAAAAACACACAGAAAAAAAAAAACCAAAAAAAAAAAACAACCCAAACCAAAACAAAAAAACCAAACAACAACAAAACAAAACAATTTAAAGTAGAAAAGGCTGAGGAAAGAAAGAAAAAAAGTAATATACTGAACAATATGAAGGAGTAGATCTACTCCTATATATTCATTCTCCTAGTACAATGGATATCCACTGGAACTGAAAAGAACCATACATACACTATCACCATGAACACTTTCTCACAGCAAGACAGTATGAAAGCTTGGTTTTAAATTCTGCTTAATCCTTCTGAGGCAGTGTTTGAGGCAAGTCATCGCCCTTGCCAATGAACACAGATGACAGGTTTCCTTTCCTTCAGTATTCTGTCGCTTGTCTGAACAGAATCCCACCACAAATGGATAACCCAATGTACCAAAAAGCACTTATTTCCCTGTGAAACCTAAATAGGCAAGAATTTAGATTTCAACACATCTATCCATTTTGCATTTTAAAAGTCAGGTGCTTAACAAGTAACAGTAAACAGTAAGGTGTGTTTTTTCCAGATAAGAAAATACTGCGATTATCACTGTCTCTATCTTAAACAACATTTAAAGTGCCAGAAACTCATTTCTGCAAATGCTTCACCTCTTTGTTTTACCTGCTTCTGTGTACTTTAATCCTACTTTTACTTCTTCATGATTTGCTTTCGGTGGTGGCCAGACAGTCTGGAGTCTCCCTGGAGTCTTGTCATCTTGCTCTGAGGGACTCAGATCAGGCTGTTGAAATTATGAAAGAAAAAAATTAAGGTTGGCAGTATCAGTTGTTCCAAACCAGATATCTAGCTCTACATATATACTCAAAAATGGTCATCTGCCTCATTCAAATAGTTTTCAAGCCAGTACAGAAAAATATAGAAAAATAATTTTGAGGAGGAGGATCTCCTAATGTATGTGACATACAATGATTCTGTTGAAACTGTTTACAGCAGCATGGAAAGCTGTCTATGCTTTGATGAACCAAAGTGTGTGTGTGTGTGTGTACGTACAGTAAGATATATATATTTTTTTCAGAGCAAAAAGCCAGGCCCCATCCTCACTCCTCTTACAAATGAACGTTGGTGGAATTCACCTGCGACATTGTTTAACAATATGATTTCTGGAAGCTGAGCTGGTTTGAGAAATTCCTGCCCCACCCACAACAGCTTGCTCAGTCCACATACCACATAATGCTGCCACATCAAATTGCTGCTGTAGCTGGTAAAGGCACTGTGCTGTCAATTGGAATAGTGAAATTTTCCATTTAAGTGAGAAACATCAACAATAAGCAAGCAAAACAAGCACCTTTTAGTGGTTGTTTTTTTTTTTTTTTTTAAGCTAGCATTTCTGTAATCTGATCTACAACACATGAGTCATTGTGTAGACACAACTGCAGCAACAGTAGAACACTGTATGAAAGTGGCCCCATAAAATGCCTATTTAGACAAAGAAAAAGGCAAGGCAAGACCCTTCTACCTCGGCTTTGCCCAGGGAAAAAGTACGCTTGCACTAGGCCAGCTGAGAGCTGACATTTGAGCCACTCATGCTGACGGCTGTGCCTCCTCCCTCCCGACCTGGCTTGCCGCGAGCCACACAGACGCTTACGCCAGCACAGCCAGAGAATGGTGTAAGGAGGAACCAGCAGCCCAGGGGTGGGAAGGGCACGCATGCACTGTAATTGCCATACATGCCGTGGCCCATGAGTGCCTCTTTTCTCCTCCCCATAGGTAATTTACTTAAAACTGGTATTATCAGTCTGCCCAGGTGTCAGTCATTTTTATGAATGTTTTAATTACGCATAAGAATAAAAATTTTAAGAGAGTACAACCAGCACAGCAAATTAACTTATCAGGCTTAGGGTCCAACCCTGCAAATTTAATCATTTGGGTAAATTCCCCTGTTAGCCAACAGCACGCTTCTGGACTGATTGCATCTGCACAGGAGTAGTTGAAAGAGGTTTAGGTTTGGAAAAGTGATGGCTGCTCATTCTAGTCTCAGTTGCACTCAAACTCATTTATCGTTGTGTACATATGCACAATTTTTTTTCATTTCTTAAACATAAGTAAATATCCAGGCACATACAAACAATCACCTTGCAAATGTTTGTATTAAACCATAACTTAAGTGGTCTGATTGGACACCCTCAGCTACACTCTGATAAGATTAAATGCTTATCAATATATGGAAAGCCAGGTACGTATGTAAATAAGAAATAAATACTGTTAAGTTCTACATCTTGGACAAATTAAACTGAATTAACCTGTAAGTTATTGTATCAGTTCTTATCCTAGAATTATTCCTAAAGGTGAAATGAAATATTAGTTGTAAAAATTAAAAAACAAAAACCAATCAAACTGAAAAAAAGAAAACAGAGCGAGATTGAGAGACTGGTAAGTAGTATTACATTAAATATTTGTGATACAAACCTGATTTTAAACCCTACTTAGCATATAGAAAACTGTTTTGTAACGACCTTTTAAAATGAAAAACTTGTGTTTACTTTCTGATTTTTATTTACAAACCATGATTATTAGTTATGAGTTCTGCTAGAACTGCAGGTGATCAACAATTTTGAAAAATTTGCCCCAAGATTTCTTCAGTTTGGAATCCAAAAACTGAGACTACCTAAAGTAGAAGACTTTGCCTTTCAGAAGACTTTTCTGACACTTTGACCTTAAGTCCCCACCATTAATTTTAAAAATATTTTATATCAATCTACTTCCAGATTTAGGAAGAAAAAATAAGCCAACCTACAGATTTGTCTGATGGTCCATCACCAGGTTTAGATTTTGACCTTTCAAATACAGCTTTCAAGGACTCTTTCTCGTTTCTCATTTTGCGCTTGATGGCTTCCAGCTCTGAAGGATCTGCAGTTGTCTCTTTTTTGGGAGGTCGTGTGAATAAAGCTTTAAAGACTTCCAGTGCAGATTCGGCAGGGCTTGATTTTATTTCCTCAGAGGGAAACAGTGGCTCTGTTTTGCCAGAGGCTTTGTTCTCTGGGCCTTCATCGCTGTCCTCAGTCTCCCCAAACTCTGCACCAGAATCTTGGGTTCTCTCGTCATTCTTGGAGACGTCTATGTTCAACAGTTGAGAGAGCTGCTCCAGAAAAGTAGGGCTTGCTTTAGGTTCAGATGATTTTTTTTTTGAGGTCAAACCTGATGTAATGTTGGATTTCTTAACAGGCTGTCGTAATTTAAGCAGAGCTAAATCATTCTCCCTTGGTTTAATTTCTGTAATAGTTTCCCCATCCTCTGTGTTTAGTCCCTTTTTCCTCACACGTAGGCCACTAAAGAAAGCAGGCAGCTGGAAACTTTTTTCAGCCAGTGCTGCTTTATGGAGAGATGCATTATCAACTGAAGGTCTTTGATCCTCACCTGGAATTTCTGGAGGGCATTCCCCTGTAGCAAGCAAGGAACTGAACTGCTCATCCATTAACGTTCTGTCTTTGCCACCGGAGTCACACTCCAGAACGCTGTCCAGCTCTCTGGGAAGCCACTGAGAAATTGGTGGGTATAACTCAGTGTCATCTCTACCCACAGTGTCATCGCTGTGTCTGTGCCCTTCTGAGTCTGACTCTTCCTTACTTTGATTGTTACCGTCCAAAGCCACAGCAGACAATGCAGCATTGTTTAGCCCACATTTGCTTGTGCTTGTTTCATCAGCATCTGGGTCCTTACTCTCACCATCTGATTCCGTGTCACTTGTTGTGTGAACCAAAGTACCTTGTACGAGAATAGCATCGTTGTCAGATTCAGACAAAGAAGTCTGTACAGACCTTAAATGGGGAAGAAGTATTTCATTCTGTCCTGCCGGCTCCGGCTCCAGTTCAGCACGGCTGCCAGACATCGGGTCAGCCTGGTCACTGGTGCAGCCCGCGTCGTGCTGGTTTTCTGAATCGTCAACACCGTCATTATCATTCCTCTCATACCGACTGTTAGCCTGAGTGTTGACATTGGTGTGCAAAGGTTGAAACGCTTTAAGCACTGCTGCTTCTTCTTTGGGAGTTACCGATTCCAACTTGGCTGTAAGTCCAAAAAGTGCTCCGACCGCAAAAGTGGTGAAGACGTCCGGCTCACTCTCCGCGGGACCCGCCCGCTCGGGAAGCTGCCGGCTGCACTCCGCGTTTCCTCCTTCCATGCTGGGTGCGGGGCGCGGCTCCAACTCCGCGCGGGCGCCGGGGACCGGCGCTCACCGCACGCAGCGCTGCGCGGCGGCGGGCCGGGCCCGGGGAGGAAAGGCAACGGCCGGGCCGCGCTCCCGCTGCTTCCTGCTCCTCGCGCCGCCGCCCATCGGCTGCCCGAGCTCCGGTGGGGAAAAGCGAAGGACGCGGCAAGCTCTCCGGCACTCGGTCCCTCGCACAAAGGGCTTTTTGTCACAGCGGGTGTGCCGGCGCGCCGATCCCGGCTGGAAGCGCAACTAGTGGCGCTGCTCCCTCTCCCGCAATCCTACTGGCTGCCCGACTTCCTACTCGCAGAGCGGCTATATAAACGCGGTTCCCAGCCGGGGCAGCGCGCAGTGGCGGTGCGCTACTTCCTCGTAGCAGGACGCGGGCTGGGAACCTGCGGCGGGGAGCTCCGCGAGCGCTCCTCTGCACGGGCCTTCCGCGTGGATAAGGCTCTTCCGAGGTAAAGTCATCATCCCGGAAAGACTGCCAAGTGAAAACCCGAGGTGCGAATTCTGAAGTTTCCACTGCAAATGCTGTGCGGTGCTCTCGGGTCTCGGCTGGCCCGAGCGAGCACCTCGAAACCGAGCAAGGAAGGAAAAGGAGAGACTCCCTCCCGCTGTGCGGCAGGTCTCATTTGAAATGCAGACTTCAGCCTGCAGGGCCACGAACAACACCCAGCAGGACTGGTTTCGTGTTACCAGAGCCGTCCGGGAGCCGCGGGCAGGTGGCACCGAGCGCAGGCACCGCTCCCAGCGCCGCGAGCTGCGTGCGGGCAGCCAGCCAGCGCGGGGACAGGTCAGCGGCTCCGGCAGCAACAGCCCAACGCTGCCACACTGCGCTCGGTGACGTCCATCGGCGTAGTGCCACTCCAGTCCCGTGTCAGATTGTTTTTAGTTAATCCATGTAGCTGAACTTCAAGAGAAAATGTCTGCGGAATATATGCATTTTTTTGCTTAACGCAAGAAAGTACAAAATATTCTTAGGCACATTTGAAAGTCACAAAGTCATTTACATTTGGGTCAGGTTCTAGTCAAAAGTCTTCACTTTTGTTCCTTTCCTTATTTTTGGAGTTGCAAAGACTAGAAATTCTTGCAGCTTTGCAATTTCCTAATGCCCTTGTGTTAAAGAAGTTACTTCACTCCTATTTTCACAGCAGCATCTCAGAAATTCAAAGATGATCACTTTTTTTGCAGCCAAGTTTGAAGGGCGTCCTGCATTGGGCTGTTTATCTGTGATGATGGACTACACACAGCAGCGTGCTGGAAGCAGGTTTTCTCAGAAAGTTGGCTGTACCTGGCACTTTTGTGCCATATTACAGATAAATATTCACTGAAAAACCAAACATCACAGACACCGAGCAACAATTAAGTATACCAACAGGTTTAGTATGAAAGACATGTTTGCCTTTCGCATATACTATAAAAAGTAAAGTCGTCATAATGTCAACAGCAAAAGGTCTGTACTGCAGGAAACAAGTTTCCCTAAACTGAGATTGTAACACAAAGGGCTTAGGTAAAGCCTACAGACACTTTTTCGATTATATGATTGCATACATACCTGTAAACAAAAGTTACTGGAATCACTCCCACCTTCATTTGTTATTTAATCATAGGGCAATATATTCACTTTACTATTGGCCATTTCCTGCAGTAAGCTCTGGATTTGCTTCCTCAGTACTCTTTATCATCAAGTGCCAAGGATGGGAACCACCGTGTAAGAGTCACGGCTTGCTAGTCTTAATACAGATAACCATCTTAAAAGGATGTTCTACAGAATGAAAGAGCCTTTATCACTCTCTGTGCCAAAGTTACTCATAGAATCCAAGGTTAGTAAGACAAATGGTAGGAAGCTACCTTCACACTAGCGTGAGTTTCTCCATGGTCACACTTTGCTTGTTTCTGTATCTATTTATTTGGGATAAGGTTAACTTACGATGGATAAACTGTAAATTGCATTTTTTCAAAAATAGTTTGGTTGGTCACTAACCATAAATACAGCTACATCAGAAACTTCATGGTAATATTTAAACTAAGCATACTTTAGATTATGCTAAAACATTCCCTTTACTATCTAACTATTCTAAATTTAAAAATACGTATGAACAGCTCAATTTAAAAGGGGTCTGAAAAGCAGGAAAACCATACTTTATATTTAAACAATTTCCCAACAAAATTTATGAGACAATGATCAATTCAGTAGTGAAAAGAATGGTTCTTTGAGAGTCAGGCCAAAATATGCTCTCCACTGATATGCTAGGAAACCCAGAGGTGAACACAGAATAATTAAATGTCCAGAAGTTGAAATATGCCTTATATCAACAAGGGCAATAACCCAAACATGAAGAAAATGAGACTATTTTATATGTACTCTTTTTTATATGTTCTCTTGATAGCAAACTTCAGGAATTGAAAAGAAAACTTCAAGATTTCTAACATTAGGAAGGAGGAAAGGACTCATCTCTACATCTACTGCTAGAGAAATTATCAAAACTGGGCACCAAGCAGTACCTCCAAGTTCAGAACATGACTCATAAACCCCCAGTCTAAAATAAAGAAAAATTCTGTAATGTCTTGTTTCTCCCAAGCTGACAATTACCCCACTGGACAGCCCCAGCACGGACTGGATAACCGATGAGGAACACACGGGTATCAGTAGAACATCCCTGGGTAAACCGTACATATCTCTACGTGTCCTTAATATTTTTACACAAGAAGACATGATGATTTGCATGTGGAAATAGGACTGAGCCAAGAAACATTCACCGGGCAGAAGTGTTTTAACACGGGGTAGATCTCCTTAGGAAAGTCTCTCTGAACAGATTTTAATGGTGCATCTGAAGGATGAAACAATTTCCAATCTCTGGAAAAAGAAATAATTTATGGTAATGATGCAAGCTTCTTTGTTTAAGAAAGCCAACAGCACTCTGCTGTCTCTGAAAAGCCCCTAGAGCCTGTCACAGCAACACTCAGGGCAGTTAATGCATTAATTACACAAAAGGACAATCATTCCTTTCAGTTTAAAAAACATTTAATAACCCACACCCTTTCTGACCTACATTTCATCACAGACAGAAGTCACAGCTACAGCAAGCCCCAGTGCTATTCTTGAAGTGCCTGAGAGCTTTAACATTTCTTTGAAGAAAACAGACAGTAAGACAGAAATACAACTAATCATTTCTATCATTATTACACAGCAGGGCTCAATGCTTCCTGACAGCATATCTATCTAGATTGACTTTTCAGATCACAGCAAAATAAAGAAAAACAAACAAGGCATAGAGACATAGAAATGGCTGAACTGTATGGAAAACAAAACTTACCATGACTTTTTAACATGAAGGGACTGGAAACAAAATGAGTTTCTCTTTTTTTTTTTTTTTTAAAGCATCATAGAAATTAAATAGGCACTGATTGTGTCAGGCTAAAGAGCCACATGGAGGTGGCCAGTTGTGGCAGTAGCTCCAAGAGTTAGAGCTGGTCTGAACTCAGCTGACCCAGTCCTGCTCCATCCACCATCCCCAGCCAAACATTTACTCTGCTGAATGATAGAGATCTCCAACTCTTCCTTCTGCCTCTGAAACAGTTTATCTCATATTATACTTAGTAGTTTAACTCTTCAAATACTCTAACATAGAAAGGGCATCTACTTGTTTTCAGGTTTGTTTTTGTTTGGTTTTTTTTTGACATACAGTAAACTAATATGTGAGCAATCTTCCTGTAGTATTGGAAATCTAAGTATTGCCATTATAATTGCTTTAAGTACTCATAAATTATTGCACTCAAAAATCTGCATGACCATCTGAAACATGGCTTGTCTTTCACATTGCAGTCACCATTGCTGAAACGCACCACCCACCACCACACTGTGCTCACAGCCACTCTTTGGCCTCCATAAACATTCAGCAAGTGAATTCAATGCCACACCTCTGCTTCATACACACTTCAATACCAGGCACCATGTTGTCCGACTGCCCCTCTGCTGCCATCTGTCACACAGCAACAAAATAGAATATTGATGGGAATGCTCAACCACTGCACCACCAACATCCACCTCTGATGTGGTGGGCCAACATAATAAAACTTGAGAAATTACTTTCAGAGCATGTGTTGTATAAGTAATTCTTACCAAAACTCAACATTATATGATACTAACAGTATGAGCAGACATCAGACATTTTGGGAAGGGGGTGTGGATACATGGAATGTGGTTTTTAGTATTATCATCAGAACTGTGTTTCACACTGAGATATTGACTATTTTAGGTAATCAAAAAGATCATAACAGTTACATAGTTATAAAACAAAAGGGCACTATAAGAAAGAATTTACTATTTTGAAATAGTCTGTATAATAGCAGTAAATATACAGAACAGTGAAGCAGAAAATCCCACCATGTGAGAAATCAATGAAAGCTCTGAGGCAGGGCTCATAGCAAAGAATGCATTGGTTGATCTTGAGGTTGAAATGAACAGACACACAAAGCAACAAAGATAGGGAGCAGGATAACTGTAAACTGAGAAGGATCTTTGTGCACAGTGGCACAAAGACTGGCATTTTGTGTAAGAAAGAACAGAGTCAAATTTTCAGTCTCATTCCTGCTTTCCTTTTCTAGGTTGCCCTATTCTTCTCCTCTTTTCATTTTCAACAGGCCTTTTAAACTCCATCTACAGCATGACATAATAGTTTAAAGCTTAAAATAAAAACTTAATAAAGTAAAATCCACAGTCGCATCAAAAGATTTACCAGAAATTCTTGAGCAACTGCTATTTATTAATACTTATTTGAGCCCCAGTTGTATGCTTCATTGAAGTGCCTTTTCATCTGAGATGAAATTCTGTATGAAGCAGTGGGTGGAGTTCCATTTCTATGTTGCTTACTTATCTTCTGTACTCTAGACAGCAAATGAGAATCCAGCATGCTGAAAATAAGATCTTAAAAACTAAAGCAGCCTTCTGATACAGACTGCACATTTTAAATCCCTGTTAGAGCAGAATTCATTCACAATCTTATTCCTCATCTACTTTATCTTCCTCCTTCCAACTAATAAAAACAGAAGCATCTTCTCAATAACACAAGGAAACTGTCTGGGGAAGTAGGGAAGTCCCCATCCCTGATGGGTTTTAAGAGAGCACGTACATGACACTAGGGGATGTTGCTTAGTGATGGAACATGATAAGTCAAGTTGATGCTTGGACTTGGCTATTTTTATGAATCTATGCATGCATATATAAATGTACAATGTATTTCTATGTAAGGCTGCTCTTGTAAGGCAGAACAAAGCAAAGCAGCTTTGTTTTTAATATTGTCACTTTAAGTAACAACTATATTTTAAAACACCAATACCTAAATTTTCATTTATCATGTTAATTTTTTTCTTCAAATAGCAAAGAAGGCTCATAGATCACATGAATTAGTGTGATCGTGAGGAAATGAATTAGTCCAATTCAGTCAGTATTCCTTGGAAATGTTTTTTGTTTTGGAGTTACACTTTGGATACATTCTCTCACCACAGTTGTTATGCTGTTCAGTCTGAGGAGCACAGAAAAGACAACATCTGGGAACAGATTGCTGTCACCAGAACAATTCATGAAGCTTATTTCATAGAATTGTTTGCATTGGAAGGAACCCTTAAACCCTCCAACATCCCTGCAGTGAACAAGGACAGCTACAGTCAGATCAGGTTGCTCAGAGCCCCATCCAGCCCTACCTTGAGTGTCTCCAAGGATGGGCAGCCACCACCTCTCTAGGCAAAATGTTCCAGTGCTTCACTATCCTTAACATAAAACACTTCTTCCTCATATCCAGTCTAAATCTCTCCTCTTCTATTTTGAGACCATTTCGCCTTGTCCTATCACAACAGACCCTGCCAAACAGTCTGTTCCCTTCTTTTTTGTAGCCCCCCTTTACATTCTAAAAGGCTGCTCTCTGGTCTCCCCAGAACCTCCTCTTCTCCAAGCTAAAAGCCCCAGTTCATGTCAACAGCACCACACAGCTAGATGTCACCCACAAACTTGCTGAGAGTGCACTTGATCCAACCATCAATGTCGCTGATGAAGATATTAAAGAGTATCAGTTTAAGTACAGATTCCTGAGGGATGACGCTCATCACTTCACTCTCTGAGAACAATCTTGCAACCATTTCCTCATCCATCAAACACAGTCCACTTATCAAATCCATATATTTGCAATTTAGAGAGAAGGATGTTACAGGGAAACATGCCAAAGGCCTTTCTGAATTCCAGACAGATGACATGAGTGGCTCATCCTTTTTTTCAGTGCTGCAGTTACACCACTATGTTGGTCAGGAAGGACTTGCTCTTGGTGAAGCCAAGCTGGTTGCCTTGTATCACTTCCCTCTCCTCCATGTGCTTTAGCATGATCTTCCCTGGTACAGAGATAAGGCTGACAAATCAGTAGTTTCTTTAGTTGTTCTCTCTCTACTCTTCTTAAAAATGGGTGTGTTGTTGCCTTTTTACAGTCACCACAGACTTCACATCACTGTAGTGACTTTTCAAATATCATTGAGAGCAGCTTGCTGATTTTTCTCAAGGTTGCTTGTACCAGTGCTGCAAGTCCAAATAGATTCTGATGGCAGCACCAGTGGCACCCTTTTCATCATCATTCTTCTGGCTGTTTTGTTTCTAATATTTATTACATAACTGGACCTGGACTTGTAGCAGGAGAATAGGTGCAGATACCCTAGAGCTCTGCAAGTAATTCAGCCCTGAGTTCTGTCTTGACAGACTTTCAAGGAGTTACAGGGAGTGAGCTTCAGGATAAATTTTTTTGTGGATCATTTATTGCCTATTATCTTTTTAAGACATATGGAGACTCCTGTTCTGAGTGTGAATAAATATTTTCCCCTGTTCAAGTAGTGAAATAATTCCATCTTCTATGACACATTTAATGAGATTTCTAGACAGAAAATGTTAATTGAATAAAGGAAAATGGAAGCAAATTCTTTATTAATCTTAGATGTCTTACTTTACTCAAATTATTGCACTTAAATGGCTTTTGATTAAGGACTTCATCCATATGGGAGGACTTGATAAATACAGATGAAATGTCATCATTGGTTAGATTCTTCATGTTGAAGTGTGCATTTGTACTAGCAATAACAATTTGTATCAGTTCTTTTCAGTCCAGTTACGTACTTTCATCTCCATGTTTTATTGCAAGGATAAACCTGTACTTTCATGGTACAACAACACTGTTAAATTATTTTAGGAAAAGAAGGCTAGGATACCAAATCAATTTTATGGCAATTGCAAGAGAACAGGAGCAATCATCACAAGAAGTATTTTAAATGCGATTCTGTGTCAGTTCTGGTATTTATACCAATAGATGTCACTATTGCACAAATTATTGTCACTGTTTCTTTGCACAAACCAAAAAGGTACTGCCTTCGAAGTGTTGTCTTTCAGTCTCTTTATCCTTTATCATAGAATGGCTTAGATTGAAGAGGACCTTAAAGATCATTGAGTTCCACCACCCCTGCCATCGGCAGGATCGCCACACACAAGATCATAGAATCATGGAATCATAGAATGGCCTGAGTGGAAAAGGACCACAATGATCATCTAGTTTCAACCCCCTTGCTACATGCAAGGTCACCAACCACCAGACCAGGCTTCCCAGAGCCACATCCAGCCTGGTCTTGAATGCCTCCAGGGATGGGGTATCCACAACCTCCTTGGGCAACCTATTCCTGTGTGTCACCACCCTCAGCATGAAAAGCTTCCTCCACAGGTCCCTCTGTCCTGCTACTCACAGAACCAGGCCAAATCAGCCCATAAACCATTGACAGTTCTGTCACCATCACAACATGTAAAAAGTCAGCTTCCTTCCTGCCTTTAAGCTCCCCTCAAGTACTGGAAGGCAGCCATGAGGTTTCCTTGGAGCCTTCTCTTCTCCATGCTAAACAAGCCCAACTCCCTCAACCTTTCTTCTTTGGAAAGATGCTTCAGCCCTTTGATCATCTTTGTGGTCCTCCTCTGTACCCTTTCCAGCAGCTCCACAGCCTTCCTGTACTGGGGTTCCCAGGGCTGGACACAGTAGTCCAGATGGGGCCTTTTTTATGTAACCCAGGATACTGTTGGCCTTACAGGCTATAAGAGCATGCTTGATCTGGTTCTTTCCTCTTCCACTACATTCTGTTCCCATTCAGGGTGGCATGCGAAGCTTCAGTGTCTCATTTCCCAGTAAGTTTATAAACTTTTCCTGACAAATTCATGGCACTGATTCCAGTGCCAGTTCAGCTTCTCCAAAACTGAGAAATCTTAAAACTAACAGCACAGCTCCAAGCACTCCTGAGCTGTACACATGCATGCACACGTGCACTCACATTCACTGCTTGCTGACTCAAATAATCCTGGTCATCTGCAATCTCCTCCAATTCACTTCCAGGAAAATAACCAATTTAAACAAAATGCCCATCATGATTTCAGTAATCACATGTCACGTATCTTAATCTATGTAATTTATATATATATATTTTTATATATTGCTTTCAGACTTGCCACATATAGACACATGGAATCAGAGATCACCTGGAAAGCTGCTGTATCACATTCAAAACTTTTCTATTCATCTCATATTTTGGAGCACAGCTTTAGACGTATCAGAAACAAAAGCATGCCAGAAACATATATAAAAATGCTTGTTGAAATCCAATATAGAGTGCTACTCACATTCAATTCCAAACTCAAATGCAATGCATTCCTGTTGATCTTCTCCTTCTCACTTGAATGAGCAAACGGGCTTGACAGTCCCAGTCTGCTATCCAAGACCCAGGTATCTTCATCTCTGTTTGCCACATCCAAATTTGTCAGCCGTTCAGTGAAGTCATCTTTTAAAGCAGTCTCTACTGGAATGACAAAATGAAATAAAATGAAGTAATTGTATGCATCTGCAGGTAATATCTACATGTAGGATGTTCTTAATATTTTTGAAACTTTGGTGAACACTATCAGCATATACACACTTTCAGTTTTCCTATTTGTTCAGAACAAAATAAAATAGCATAAATAGGGTTCAAATTTTGTCATTTGAGAAAAAAATTGTTCTTAAATTTCATGGAAAAAAATTCTAGCAAAACTGTGGGCTGCTTGCCTTCCCCCTTTCATACTAGAAGGTAGCTTTCATCTCCACTGCAAAGGCCTTCTTTAATGTGCTTTTTCCCAGAATATGTTTCAGAGGTGGCTATGAGGTGCAAAACTAAGCTAAAGCAGGTCAATTGGCTGTTTAGACAAAATTTCTGATATCAGCTAAGCACACCTTCAGCGGTTATTGTACTGATCTACATTAGCCAGTTACAGGAAACACATGAGATGAATCAGCTGGAAATGATATTTTATAGAATCATAGAATGGTTTGGGTTGGAAGGTACCATTAAGATCATGTACTTCCAACCCCCTGCTATAGGCAGGACCGTCCCCCTTCAGACCAGGTTGCTCAAAGCCCCATCCAGCCTGACTTTGAACATCTCCAGGGAGGGGGGCATTCACAACCTCTTCGAGCAATCTGTTCCAGTGTCTCACTACCCTCACAGTAAATAATTACTTCCTATTATCTAGTCTAAATCTACCCTCTTCCAGTTTAAAGCCATTTTCCCTCGTCCTGTCAATACATGCCCTTATAAAGAGCCCCTTCCCAGCTTTCCTATAGGCCATTTAAGGTACTCTTGATCTTGCTCCATTAACTTTAAGCAAAATATCAACCTATAATGGTCTGGTTACAAACAAGCAAATGTGAATTCAGAGAGAGAGAGTTAAGAGCAAAAATTGACAGCCAACAGTCCACACCCCTGCATCAGACACTCCAGTTACAGATCAGTCTCCCTCCAATTCACAGCATCTATTCTTTATCGATTCCCCAAAGTAGTTTTTTCTGAATGATAGCCCCTTGTTTGTTGAGAAAACCAATGAATTCCAGAGATGCAGTATGTTCTCTGAACATGTGTGATACAATGTCATAAACAAAAGGACTATCATCCTTTTATATATGCAGACACATCAGCCCTGCAACATTCTACTGGAAAGTTCAGATCTTGTACAATTGTACCTACAATTTTGTGATTTATTTTTAATTTTTGGTATTTCCCCTGATTTTAAAAGATTATGGTAAGAAGAAGCATAAAGATCATAATCTCTAAGCCTGTTTGATTAAATTTATGTTGATTTTCAAAGCTTCTGAAAGCTTATGGATCAAAATAATTCAGATCTCACACTGCATCAATAAGCATAGCAAATTAAAATACTTGGTAAAATGGGCAACAATCCTTGAAGCTTTAACATTCTCCTTGAAAATTAAAGTCCTCATGGAACAGAACATGTTAATGAATTAAACTATCTTAAAATGCTGTGTATTTGCTCTTGAATTTCACCTCTTGCCAGAAGAGCCCAGATGCAGTCTACAAGGTGTAGAGTTTCTGGGCTCAAATCCAAAGTCTGTCTCATTTTATTATAAAATCCTACCAATCATGAGATACTGAGGAAACTAACCATTCTCAGGATTAAGAAATAATATTTTCATAAATTGTATGTAAAAACTGCTCCTTTGTGTGATCTACTCAGAAACAAATCTAATAATTCTGATTATGTGGACATGGATAGCAATAACAGTTTATAATAAGGCTTTAAGAAACCTCACTAATGCATGAACTGAATGTGTACCCCCATTTATTTTCTAGTAGAACTTCCAAATCTCATTCCACTTATAAAGGGCAACATGGAGGCATTTCACAGACCATTCATTCCTAGCTAGGGAAGCACCTGTACATTACAGAAGGATTGCCAAGCTCAAGCTGCTGTTTACTCTCAACCTTCCAGATTTGAGAAGCTCTGGAACCAATAAGAGGAGGACACTGCAGAAGGTCCCAACTGTGCTGCAGTGGCCTATGAAGGCCACAGAGACAGCAATGATAGTAGTCACTTACTGCTGCCCTAGAGGCAAGTGCTACAACAGGAGCTGCTGTGCACTGAAAAAAAAAACAACTCTCCCATTAGCTGACCAGGTCAGTACTCTGTAAAAAGCAGAGAAGCTCAGAATCAACCCCCTGAGACCCCGCCCAGTGACAGCTGCTTTCCTTTGCTGCAGTTGACGCTGCTGTTTGGTTGCTGCAGTGATCTCCCAGACCAACAAATATGCAGTCAAAAAATAGAGGGTAATACCATATGCTTGTACTTCAGCAGCTATAATTTTTCAACCTGTTTTCTTTTTTTTTTTTTTTTTTAATTTTTTTATTATTATTATTTTTGTCTCCAAAAAACCCAAGCACTTTCCAAGAGTCCAGTTGCTAATCAAACTGTCTCCTAGGTTTTACAGTTAACACCAATGAGGTTGTGCCTCCTGTTAACACTCCGTGTAGAAAGAATAGTGCACAAACATTCCCTTGGCTTCGCTGCCAAGGGAATGGCAGGCACTGTCTGTTCACAGCTGGGACAGTGGTTATTTCTGCATTACTATGCATGACTAAAACATTTTCATTGCATAACCTCCATGGTTTAAAAAATTCTCATTGATATGCAATAAATATTATTAATTTCATCATTCATTTCATTTACCTAAGAGGAATTTCACTTACCTCCATTCTAGCAATGCTTACCTAAAACATAAGCTCTTTTAACTATTAATAAATAAAAAGCACATTTAATTTAAAGCTGAGTAAAGTAAATGCAGGAAAGCTGAGTACTTAACGCTTCCCTGGAAATATTTACTACCTAGAATTTTCAAGAACAAATAACATTATTTTAAAAAAATCTTTTCATATCTACAGATAAGACATATGATGCACTGAAACCCCAGGGGTACAGATAAAGATGTATCCTCGAACTGTGATAATAAATAATCCCAAGTTTGGTGCTGAACCCCTTAATTATATGGCAATTATAAATTCTTTCCACAAACAATGTGTTCTCATTATGCTAAGTCTCTTAATATAGTCTTCTAAATGAGCAAAAAAGTATATTAGATAAGATATATTTCTACTAAATTACCATAGCAGTATCCACAGCTCCCCAGTTTCTTCCAGACATACTGTGTTCTCTCTGTGTGGCATCTTTTAGAAAGCCTGTTTTAACTTTCTCAGCTGTTTTGAAACAGAAACTTCTTGCAGAAAAAAAAAAACAAAAAACCACCAGCTTTTCAAACATCTTTTTTTCTCAGTGAAAGGAAATAAAATGAATCATAATACCCATTCCTTGTGGGAACGTATCTTGCTTAACCACTAAACTCTTAAATGTGAGACTAATGTTCACACTGTCTTTTCAGCTTTAGCCTATTCTATATATAAATCTTTTAATTGCACTCCACTGCTTCCAGACTACATTGTTTTAACACACAAGACAAAAATACAATGGTTAATCTTTTTATATTGTATCTATTTTATTAATTTTTATAAACATTCTTATAAGTTTTTGAAGTTTGAACAAAGAAAATCTTACATTAATTACTTTTTAATGTTCGCTTCTCAGAAGAAAAACAGAAATAAAATAAAACCAGTCTCAGAATGCCAGGTTTTTGGACTTTTAGGGTTTAGGAGTCCTACGTTTTAGAACCACAACAAAATAACAAAGTAGATTTATTCAAACTGAAACAGTCTAAGTGCCACATTGTTACTTAAAGGCAGGGTTTTCACAGCAGTATTGAACATTCTCAGCATATATTTAGAGCACTTATGGTATGACTGACTGAAGACAACTATATTCCATCAGGTAAACATCTTTGCAAGATCTCACAGCAGCAAGTTGTAGCATGTTATCTTTGGCGCACTTCTTCGACTAAATAGTTAATGCTTGACCACAGTATGGTTTTTTCTTCCATATTTTAAAATCTAAAAATCTAAAATCTAAAAAATCTAAAATATGCAGATCCCATACAAAATGTATATATTTGCTATGTGCATCTTTGTTTTTGTGATCCAACCATTCAGTAAAGTGATTGACTACGGTCCCTATAGTGCTCAGAGACCTAGAAGTTCCTGAAGTATCAATATCTGGAATAATCACCAATGTTGTTTGGTTGTGTCTTATTTCTCCAGTTATCCATAAACGCAATTCAGTATTGCTGATAACAGAGAAAAATGGAAGCAACCTAACCAATTATTAACAGAGAAATTACCAGGAAAATTAAGGCCTACTTCTCTGGTTAGCAAATAAAAATCAACGTGTTGTTCTGAAGTGCTGACTCAGTGTAAGATCTCTTCCTATAAGAGAGACAATCATACACAACCTCGATGTGAAACTCCAGCATTAAACAAACAACCCCAGCAGTGAACACAAAGCTCTCCAAACACCACTGACATTATAAGCAAAGAAATAAAGATATTTAAATTAAAAAAACAAACAACAACAAAAAAAACAAAAACAAAAAACAAGAACAAAGCAAGTAGGGAACATAAGAAAGAAAACAATTGGCACTTCAGAGCAAAGTCTGAGTCTCTCACTGTTCCCAGAGTAGATTCTGGTGACTGCAGCCAAGAGACCACAGTCAATGTTCAGCCAAGATTCTGAGCTGCAATGCCAGAAACTTTTAGCTAAAAGCTCATTTTCAATGCAAGAGAATTTCAGTGCTTATGGTAACTTCTAGATTGGGATAGTATCCAAAACAATCTAGTTAAACGTTGAATCAGAATATTAATTATACTACATAACCTAAACTACCAATTTGCAGACATTACTTTACATACTGCACATAGTATATTAAGTATATATTCCGATCTGTGGCCTTAGCCAGAAAGCTAAAATAACATGGATGAGGAGAGCAACATTCAATTTTTTTTTGTTGTTGTTGTTTTTTGTTGTTGTTTCAGCAAGATTAAACCATGCATGCAGTAGTCTTTGAATACAACTCTACCTATGGAAGGGT